CCCTGGTGGGGGCCTGCGGCGTGGCAGGAGCGGCCCCGCTTCCCTCGCACGCTCCCCTCGTGGAGCTGAGGGTGACTGATGGGTCTGGTCTCGGCCGTGAGAGAAATAAGAGTTGTAGCTGCTGTGCTGACTGGTTCCCGTGAGTCATCCCGTTTAACCCATACAAGGAGGAAGGCGACGTTATTATTTCCATTTGCAAATAAAGAAGCTAGGACTTGGCTTCCCTAACCCGCACCCCCAACAGCCACTACTGCCGGGGTAACTGTACATGTACTAACCCACCCAGTACTCTCAGGCCCTCCCTGGTGCTGCTTCCTTCCTCTTGTCTCCCTAGAAAGCATTACAAAGCAGTTTACCTCGCATGCAGTGAAGCAGGGCGCAGGCTGCACTGTGGGCCCAGGAGGCTCTAGAACAACCCCCACTCCCAGCAAGGAAACTGGGACAGGCAAGATGTTGATGGGTCTCTGCTTTAGGGACCACTTAGCTCTAGAGGTGGAGTACCCCAGCCCCTTATCCAGGGAGCCCACCTCCTAGCAGCAAGATTCCTGGAGGGGAAGGCCAGCCGCCAATCAGAATGTTGCTTGGGGACCAAGAAGTCAAAGTCAGGACAGGTGGATATTTCTGGAATATTTCATGCGGGTCACAGTAAAACCCGGTCCTGGAATAAAACATATTCATTTATACCAGCCTTATTTTATTTTATTTCATTTTTTAACTATCTCTTTATTGATTTCAGAGAGAGGAAAGGAGAAGGGGAGAGAGAGAGAGAGAAACATCAATGATGAGAGAGTCATTGATTGAGCGTGCAACNGGGAGAGGGAGAGAGAGAAACATCAATGATGAGAGAGTCATTGATTGAGCGTGCAACCCTGGGCATGTGCCCTGACAGGGAATCGAACCCCGATCGCCTGGATCCTAGGTCGACGCTCAACCGCTGAGCCACGCCTGGCTGGGCCCAGCCTTATTTTAAACAAAAATAACTTAAGCATAATTAAAAAGTATGATGAGGTGAAATTGAAGAATTAGAAAATCCAATAAAACCAAGAATGAGGCTCGTATAGTCACCATGCCAGGAGAAGGACCACAGCTTTGGAACCGAGCTCTCTAGTAGCCAATTCAAACAGGGAAGCACAGTCATTACTTGGTGCCCAATGTCCACAAAATAAAAAGAGACCAGAGCTCAGCAGAAGTACAGGTCCTCCCTTCCCAGAGACCAGGAGGCAATTCTCTGTCCCCACAGTTTGGAAGTGGTGTGATAAACATTGCAACCACATCCTTAACATAAACACAAGTTTCACAGGATTCGTTTCATCTGGTGTCCCTGTGACAGCTGGTGGCACTGTGTTCTGGCGGAGCCACTCAGAGCAGTGCAACCCTCGTGCCCAAGCGGCTGGTCCAGCTTAGTCCGGGGAGAGATTCTGGTGTAATCACTAAAATTGTATTCCTCCATCAGACAGACGTGAGAAATTCCTCTCCCCACCTGCCTTCTGATTTGTAGAGAGCCACAGTAAGTTCAATGTTATTATGCACGTGACAGCGCAGCCACTTGGGCTGCAGATTAAATGCACGTTACAACAGAAAATATGGGTGCCCAGAACAGGCCAGTCTCCCCACAGGGAGCAATGACTAGACAGCTCACAGTTCTTATCCCCGGGGCCCCCTTTCCTGGATCCCATAAAAGCCACCCCCTTCTGCAGTCACATTCTTTCTTCAGACAGAGCCCAGTACCGTGGATTCAATTTTTTCTTTCTTAATTGTGGTATCCATCAAGCATGCTTCCAGGGTACTCTATGATTGGACTTGATGACTCTCGAACTTCCTCAGCGCCATCCTCAACTCCTTCCCTCGAGTCACGGTGTGCAAATTCACCATGACGTTTACTCATGGTAGATTAACCTCCACTTAACTTCCCAGGAAGCCCTTTACTAGCTGTGTGACTTTAGACAAGTTATGAAATCTCTCTGAGCTTTATTTTCATTACGTGTAATGTTGATAATGCCTACCTTGACGGGTGGTTTGAAATCAGAGTAAACTAGTAATAGCGACAGCAGCAAAGGTTCATGAGTTCTTACTGTGCCTGTCACTATGCTGAGCATTTAACACTCAATTATCTGACTGAGTCATCTCAACAACCCTATCACATGGGAACACTGACTGTCCCCATCTTATAGATGAGGAAACTGAGGCTTAGAGGGCTTGGTTAGTGCCTGCCCCATTAGTTACAACTATAATTATTCAATGTCATGAGAAAGGCAGGGCATGGGAGTTCAGAGAGGGGTCAGGAAAAATCTGAAACAAGGAGTCATTTGCAGATGAATGGGCTTGTTTGGTTGCTTTGCTTCTTTGTTTGCATTGGAAACCTAGTACTGTGTATATATATGCTCTTTGGAAAAATTCAAACAGTGCCCGTGCTTACAAAGTAAAAAGCTGAAAAGCTCCCACCGCCAGGGCAACCTCCTGATGTCACTTTCTCNGGAGTTGGCCGCATGTGAATAACCTTCGGTATGAGTTCCAGGCTCTTCTACCAGCCAATACATGAGCAAGGGAATGATCTGATTGGAGCTGACTTTTTAAAAAATATATCTTTATTGATTTCAGAGAGAGGAAGGGAGAGGGAGAAGAGAGACAGAAATATCAATGATGAGAGAGAGTCATTGATCGGCTGCCTCCTGCATGCTCCCAACTGGGGATCAAACCCACAACCTGAGACTTGAGCCGTGATCTTCCNGAGAGAGAGTCATTGATCGGCTGCCTCCTGCATGCTCCCAACTGGGGATCGAACCCACAACCTGAGACTTGAGCCGTGATCTTCTGGATCCTAGGTTGATGCTCAACAGCTGAGCCAGGCCAGGCCGGGCTGGAGCTGACTTTTTTAAAAATTAAAATACACATATCATAGCCCTGGCTGGTTTGGCTCAGTGGTTAAAGCGTGAACCTGCGGACCGAAGGGTTATAGGTTCAATTCCGGTCAAGGGCATGTACCTCGGTTGCAAGTTCAATCCCCAGCCCCAGTCAGGGCTTGTGCGGGAGGCAGCCATCAATGTGTCTCTCTCACATCAATGTTTCTCTCTCTCTGTCTCCCTCCCTTCCACTCTCTCTAAAAATCAATGGAAAAAGATATCCTTGTGTGAGGATTTAAAAACAACACACATATAATAAAATTTCCCATCTTAACCATTTTAAGTGTACAGTTTAGTAATATTAAATCCATTCACACTGTCACCCATCCCCGCTCTTCTTTTCACCTTGTAGATCTGAAATTCTATACCCTCCCCCCAGTCTGAGCTGCCTTTGGGATGACAGAGCCTGTGGGTACGAGGCCAATTAGGAGATTGATGTAACCACAGAGGCAGGAGGCCGAGGATCCCCATGTGAGAAAGGAGGTCATAAACAGGAAGCAAATGTAATTGTTAAACAAAAGCACCTCCCGTGCCTGGCATGCTCTGTGCCAGGCCAGAGACCCTCTGAGGAGTCTCTTCCTCTCCTGCCCCAGCAGATGCCAGCACCTCCCTGGCTGTCCGTGCACTTAGCCCATTTCTACACCCGTTTCTCACATTATTGAAGCTCTTGGATCATTAAATTCCACCCCTTAGCTCATCCACGCTCACTCCCCTTCAAGCCCTCTCCACCCAGAGAAATCATTTTAACAGTTAAATACGTTACTCCCACATCTCAAACTCTGAATTCCCTTGTCCCTTCCCGTGTGGATAAAACCCGTCATCTTAAAAGAGCCGCAGGCCCTGCAGGATCCGATCCCGGCTCCCTGGCTCGGGCCTCCCCCTCCCTGTGGCCCCCAGGCTCTGTCCCCCAGGGCTTCACTGGGGGGGTGCCTTCCGCCTAAAGCGCCCCTGCCATCCCCATCCGGTCACGAGCACTCACAGGCAGGGCTGCCCTCCTCTCTGGCACGTCACTGTTCCAAATTCCATATTCTTTGCATGAACATGTGATTGTGTCTTTCTCTGTCGTTAGCCTGTGAGCTCAGGGGCGGGGGGCGGGAGGCGGGAGGCAGGGACCACGCGAGCCTGTGCCCCGCAGCCCCGTGGTAAGCACGGGAGTCTTCACAGCTAACCGTGACTGATGCAATCTGTTGCAAGGAAGTATCTTAGAGTCTATTGCACTTAGTCACAGGTGACTCTGGAGAGAAGGCCGGGGAGGGGCAGGCAAAGGGGGTGCGTATGAAGGGTTTGCATGAGCTTGCGGGAGAAAGACCGGCCCCAGACCCAGGCCCTTCCAGAGCGGGTCACCCCGGCCAGCTCCTGCCAACCTCCCTCGGCACTGTCCTAGAGCGAGCCTTCCCTCCTCACCCCAGCACCGCACACTAATGACAAGCTCCTGGGAAAACCAAAGGCGGTGCAGAGGGACAGCAGTGTGACAAAAAGAGAGCATCATCACTTGGGAATAAAATCATCACAGGTAGCGGCAGGTGGGATTGTGGGCTCAAAGGTTTTCCTCTCCCTTTCCTGCTCCCAGTATTGAGCTCTGCTACTAATTCAGCGAATGCTCGGAGCCTGAGGTTCTCGGCCGCAATGCGCCAAGTGGGGCTTGTCAGGGAGATCAACCCACCCTCAGCTTCCAGGAAACTTGGCCTCCTGGGGAAGAAAAGACAAGCGCAGACAAAACGACTCTGTTTCTCTGTGATGCGTGTCAAGGGTACTCGTCCCCACTCGGCCCTGGTGCCAACTTCCTGGACCTTGTCCTCCCCTCCTGCCACCAGCGCCAGCTCAGCTAGTCCTGCTGTCCCTCCTCCCCTTGTCAGATTCCAGGGCAATTCTGGAACCAGCTCTCCCACCTGGGCCAGGTGAGATCATGAAGCTCCACCCTCAAATACCTGGGCTTTGATCGTTTGCAAAGGATGGGGTCAGCAAGAGACCATTTGGAGGTCCCCAGGAGAGACAGGGGTGGCTGGAAAATGGGGATGGACAAAGCTCACTTCAGCTTGCACCCAGAAGCAAAGACACTGCGAAGGACAGACTCAAGAGCTGCTTGTGTTTTATTGGCGATCAGTGTGGGGGCACAGGGGGACACTGATCTTGGGGTGCAGGGGGCAGTGGAAAGTGAAGGAGGTGCTGGAAGCTTGCTGATTGGATCTTGACTTAGCTCATACTGCAAGGGGAGGGCGCGGGACCCCTCCTCTGACTTCCAACTTAGGGCTTCCCCTTGTCACTCTCCTAACCCCCCTGCGACCCAGAATTTTGAAGGCACCTGGGATGTTCCAAGAAGAGCCAGGAGGAGGAAATTGGTTGTTAATGCCTGGGTGTAGGTGAATATTCCCCCAGCTGCCTCCTGGGTACCAATCAGTAGTTCCCCAGCTGGAACTTGGGTATTGATTATTGATGCCCCAGATTCCCACAGGGTGTGGCAGGGGCCTGGTTCCCCACCCAGTTCCAGGACCTCCACCTCCCCAGGACACACTCGGACTCAGGGCCCCCCAGGGGTGACCTGGCAGAAGTGGCTGTTGAATCCTGTTGATGAGAGACCAGGGTGGGTGCTGGGCGAGGATTTCTCGCTGGGCTCCCAGCTCATGGGAACAGGGTGCCCGTCTAGACTCAGAGTCCCGGTGGAGGAGTGAA